CTTCATTCAGCCAATCTACTTCCTGAACACGGAGTCCCTGGTGGCGCACACAAATAGCAAATTCAGCCGCTAGACAAAAGGCTGGGGGGTTGAGTCCACCCAGTGGCACCACAAAAGCTCTGGGAAGCTGTATCCCAAAGTCAGCCAGTGAAACCCTACGGGGCACAGTTCGACTCTGTCACACACGGGGTCGCCATGAGACCCCAGGAACCCCACAGCACCTATTTTCTTCTCCATGTCCTGATTCCAATACCAAACCCTGGATACATTTTCTATGCCCAACCAAGTCTTCGTTTTTCCATTGCACTTACTGATGACTGAACTGCCTGTTCTGTTGTCTTGGGCCGTAAGGAACCTTCCTGAAGAACAAGACCCACTCCTTACCATGATTTCTAGGACACCGACTGAAAACTCAGCCTGAGGAAGACAAGGGGACTAAGGAAGCATCCAGAACCCCGGTGCTTTGCAAACTTTTCTGGGACACACAGACACACTTTTCTGGGACACACAGACACAAGTCCAAATGCATCCATCTATAGGTGAGTGCATACCTGAGACAGCTGTCCAAAACAGCGCCTAACCTCTAGCAAGGGCAATGCACCTTGAGCTTTTCTACTGCTGTGTTTTTGTTTTTATAATGGTCAGGCGCCACTCTACTGGTTTCCAAGCAGGGTTTCCAACTGGTTTGAACTAGTTCGGGCGTGGCTGAGGGGTAAAATCAAAACAGACCCAAACGTTTTACATTTGGGTAAAAGGGACCGGATCTGGAAGAGCAAATAGTTTGGGCCAGAGCCGGGCCATGGGAGATGCTGGACAGGCCTGACACACCTCCTTGGGATCCTTGCCAGGGCTGTGCAGTCACTCACATTCAAAGCCTCCCATCCGGTTGTCACCTCAGAGCAGTGGTTCTCAACCTTCCTAATGCCGCAACCCTTTAATACAGTTCTTCACGTTGTGGTGACCATAAAATTATTTTCGTTGCTACTTCATCACTATCATTTTGCTAGTGTTATGAGTCCGGCGACCCCTGTGAACGGGTCATTTGACCCCCAAAGGGGTCTCGACCCACAGGTTGAGAACTGCTGCCTTAGAGCCTTGGGCCGTTGTTTCCCTCTCTGCCAGTCAAAAGATTTGGTTATTATGCTGCCCTTGTTTTCTAAGAGGAAAATTGTTTCCGCCTTTCTTTTTTCTCCACCCCCCCCATTCCACAACTTCTACCTGTACAATTCAGTGCCATTGATTGATTAGACTCTTTGTGTTGTACCATCATCATTAAGATCCTTTTCCAGATTATTCCACTGCCCTCAACATATCCTCAACGCCTCCTAAGTAACCACTGTTTGCCCTTCACCCATGGTAACCGTTGGTCAAGTTTGGGTTCTTTCTTTTTTTAAGCAGTTTTCTCGACATCGTATTCATATATCAAACACTTCCATGGCTAAATCACTTTTAAAATGAGTTGCACATACATCACTTCCCCCCATCAGGCTACCTGTCAGTTCATTCTCAATTTACAAAAGCTTCCATTCTGGTTTTTCCGGCATGGCCACAGCGGGACCAGTTGGAAGCCTCCTCTCTAACTCAGTAATGGCACTCGATTTGGGATGAATCCTTTAAGAAGGCAGCAGACAGCAGAGATGAGGGCAGGTGGCAGTAGGTAGGTAGCTCCCAAACTACCCAAGTAACCGGGCACCTGCCCTTTTACAAATTCCTTGATAAATTCAAACCACCCTATCTCTCAGGGCGGAAAAGCTGGTTTACAGTCCGCTAAGGGAAGCTCCCTTCGAGCTCCAAAAGTAAAATGCCTTCCGGGACCCCAGAATGAAACCGAACAGGCTGGCGCGCCCCCCACCCCACACCCGTGCTTTTGCCGTCTGTGGGCGTGACCCGGAGAAAGGGGCTGCACACGCGGGAGTCACCGTCCCAGCCGCGTCCCGGCGCGTCCCGGGAAGCCCCTGGCGCCCAGAGCCACAGGTGGGCACGCAGAAGTGAAAGCGGGGCCTCCCTCCCACTGCACGGAGCGCGGGCCGGTGAGTCACCGGGTCATCTAAGACCCAAGCCGGGAGAAGGGCAGGAGGCGCACTGGAGCCAAGGCGCCGGCTGAGCAGGGCGGCGCGCAAAGGCCTGCGAGCGG